GGGAGACATATCAGGGAACCATAAAGAGCAGGATGCAAGCCTAAGGCTGGCAGCCAAGTTAAGCTAAATCACCAACCCAGTGACCCACATATCACAGCCAGCAGTTGGTGCGAAACTCCACGCACTAGCTCAGGAAGCTGAGTCACTGCTCCTAACATGAAAGCTAATGGTTCAGATACTGGCATCCCGTTCATCCATCCTGGAGTGAAATTGACATGCAAAAGCCAAATAATAAGGAAATTAACGAGCGCTAAAGTACCCAAATTAAAAATGCTGGGTTTAATTTTATATGCTGTGGTTTTATGACACCCACCTTTAAATTTCCCACATGCCACAATGCTCGACTTCACAGTGATCTTTGAAACTACTTCAATAGAAAGTAGTCACTTCCTTGAGGACGAGTTGCTTTTCTGTTTTCAAAAATAAACATTTCCGTCCTTTTACCAACACACAATTTTAAAAAACCCTCACCGTATTTTAGCGCCTGCAGAAATCTGAGACAAGAACGCCTCAAAACCGCAGCAGATCTAAGAAATCCAAATGTGCATGGCTTAATATCACAAAGGAGGGCAACGGAGTTTGTGCCGACTTTGTTTTGATCTGATAAACCAGCACTTGAACAAAAACTGCAATCATTACTATAAAAGCTCTGGAAAGGTTAAATACTTTCTACTAAAGAGTGAATTCCTGATCATTTATGAACCTGAAAAAACCAGACATCAATTAAAGCATTCCTACTGACAGACAGTGCGCTTTCTGGGGATCTTAGGGTGCCATGATCTTCATGTAAACAACCCAGACACAACTAAGACCGCTGTGTGAAGTTCTAGTGAGTAGGTGGCTGCAGCTGGTTTAGGTCTGACCTGGAGTGTGTAAGCTCATGTGATGCAGACTAAACAGTAGGAGAGAGGGAGGGAGGTCAGGGTGTCAGCTCTCAGCTGGCTTACAGGAAAAAGAAACCGGGTCACTTCACGTCGACAGATCTGCTGGAATGTGAATAATCCTGAATAAGCCGGCAGTTGTGATTTTGACTGTGAAGTATAAATTAATGGCAGAGAAAACCCTGTGGTAGTGCCTGTGTCTGTGAAGTGCTGCAAAAAGAAAAATTCAGCATTTAAATATTTTAAGATTCATTTTTCATCATTTTTAATGTGTTTTTTGTGGCCTTTTGTGGTTTGTATTGCAATACCAACAACACCAGCTTTTTCAGCTCAGAGAGCTGATCAGCTGTGCGCCTGTCACACATCCCTTACTGTGCAAACCCTTCTCTCTCGCTGCCTTTGTGCTCTGCTTCCACCCTTCTCCTGATAAAACTTCAGTATGCTCGCTGCGACTTGCAGATGTTATCCTGCTTTTACCAATTCTCTCAGCTGTAACCGTCTCTCTTGGGTTTTCTTCCATTCCGTCACTCTCTCTCCCACCTTATCTGCTTTTCCCCCCCCCCCAACCTTTTCAACTCTGTTTTCCCCTTTGCTTCCCTCCCAGCCCATGATGCAACAATGACTGGTCGGCTTAATTGTCTGTATGGATAAATCATATGACAGCTGTTGGACGGGGGAAACTATTCAGCCACGTGAGAAAACCACGCAGACATTGGCTTCACCGGCAGGAAAGAAATTCTGGACAAGTAACTGTAGTGAAAACCATCCCCTGAAATTGCATTTATAAGCTGATAACAGCAATATGTGCCCAGAAACTGCATTTAATTATTCAGAGAAAAAAAGGAATTATACTCTGGGTGGTTTGTAAATTAGCTGTTAAACTGCCAGATTTTGCAGCGGCATTCTGCATAATATGCGCTGGAGTACAAAGACAGGAGAGAAAATGGCACATATCAGGGCTAAAGGTCCCATTTTAGCTAATCAAAGTGCCACTAATTGGCACAATTATAGACACAGGACAAGAGAAAACTATGAGCGGAAGAAAAAGAACCAAGGGGAAGAAGGAGAGTCCTTTAAGGTTGCAAAGAAATTAGCTGCATATGTAGTTTATGCAACATAGCATCTATTAAGTTAAATATACTCTAACTGGCAAACAGATCAGTTCACATGTTTATGGAGGAAGCCTCTGAAGGAAGAGGGCTCACATGTGCAGGACAATGCAGACTTAAGTTCATATCCATTTCTGGTCACTTTGTGCAACCTTACAAAAACTGCCATGAGCCTGAAGTGCTGCTGGCTTCATCGCTCTCCGGTGTGTCACTGCAGGAATGGGAGTAATGATCTCAGGTGGAGCAAAATGACGATCACAGAGCAACAGGGGCCCGAGCCGGAGTGATGAGAAAGCAAACAGGGTGATGTGAAGACGGCGCACCAACAAATCTCTTTTTAATACCCGGCAATCGCGTTGTTTCTTCCTCCAACAATAATTTACAAACAACCCAACGGTGGCTTCTCATAGGTCGGCTCATTAGATACAGTCACTACCGAGCGATTACCGTGAAAAAAGAAAACAAAAAGGTGAAACAACGTCTGTTCTTCAGCTGACCACACAATCATGGTTTGCTGTGCACACAGACACTCCTTTACTCACAGGCAGACAGCAATTATGACTTCATTCTCTCTACTCGAGTCATCTGCAGGGCAGACGAGCCGATTCAATCCAAAACTGATACTGAAAGAAGCTGCCGCACAGACTGTAATCACAGCCTGCCCTGCGTCAAAGAGACCCTGCTTTAGGCTATTTACTTCACCTTTTCACTAAACCCTTGAAATATCACTCACTGCTGTCTTTGTTTGGAATTCAGAGCGACGCCTGGAGCGCTAATAACCCAAAACGACGTCTCAGCAACAAATGAATGGAATCAGAAACCGAATGAATTGTTACGGATTTGGTAGTCCGAGCGGACTTCCCCTACCTTAGGCCTCTCTCAAACACGCTTTTGTTTCCGTGTGTTTGCGCACACATTCACATGAGATTTCATTTACTTTGTTTGGGAAATTCTGAATGCATGGCTGTATAATAAAGACCGTATTCTAATAAAAGCTGTGACTGGTTACAGTTAGTTAGATATTTCTTGCTCACTACAACCAGTGTCTTCCCAAGATCCCCTGATTTTTGAGTCTTCTTCATTCTGTTTTGTACTCTGACCAAAAATATGTATTTTCTTAATTTCATGCCGTGTCAGTGTCTATCTCTCATACACACAGCTCAGCCGGCTTGCGACGATGGGCCTCTACCCTCCTCCCTGCATTAAGCTTTACACACAGCCAAACCTCATTTCACAGCATGAAGGCTGTAAGATTGTAGAAGCGAGTGCTTTAAAACGGACTCAATATTCTACATAAATGAAAAATGACTGAGGTACAGTGCTTTTAAGCAGTCAAACAATGTTTAATAGTGACAGGTTGGAGATTAAAAGATTTAAATGCACACATATAACAGGAGTTAAACTGAAGGATAGAAAATAAATACAGTTCAGGCAAGAGGGTTTTTTTCTGATTCATATTCCAGTTGGCCAGCTGCAATTTTAAGGCAAAAAACCCCCCAATTTAAAGCTGGAATTACGCCTGTTATCTTTTTTAGAGAAGAAAATGGGCTCTTGGTGTCATGGCGTCCCTGGAGAGCAGAGAAGTTTTGAGAGAAAAAAAAATTCAAACAGAAATTTGAGATGATTGGGCAAAGAGAAATGAGATGTAACAAACTACAGAGAGCGACGGGTTTTCCTTTGAGCCTTGAGATTGCTGTTGGGGTTACACACAAAAGCACACCCTGTTGTGAAATCAAATAAGACCCACAGGGCTCAGCGAACTAAAAGGGAGGGAGATTAAAAGTCTGTTGTCACAACACACCCTTTCCCTTCCTGGCAGGTGTGTGTTCATACGTGTAAGTGTCCGTGATGTGAGTCTAAGTGAGCTTTTAACGAGACGTTCAAAGCGTTACTGTTTAGACTGTGACGGGGGGGCCTGTCTCTTCTCTTTTGGCGCGCACATGCAGACAGTGGGAGAGAGTTCAGAGATCAAAGAAAACAATCACAAGCAATCTGTTTACCCAATCAAAACCAAAAAACCTGCAAAAGAGTATTTTAAACTACTCTTTTACTTCATGTGTGCACCACATGTCTGCTCTGCCACAGCAATTTGAAACACCGTTAGCTCATGATACACTTCTACAGCCGGAAAAAAGCCAAATCACTGAAAAATATAACAAAATCAACCCAACGCATCCATCACTAACATCTGACTGCTTTGTTAAAAAACACCTTCTCTGTCTTTCTGAAATAACTCAAGACTCCTCTCCGGCTTCAAGCATCGCTAACGAAAGCACTTCAATTTAAAAAGAAGAAGAAAAAAAACACTAGAAATTGCACACTCAAACCGCTGAGACACTAATGCTTTCAGTACTGAGTACTGAATAATGAATGTTGCAGAACACGTGGACTCCTTCCAGTGGTACTCAAACTAATTTTCACCCTGTTTGCTGCCAAAGAAAGTGTGTCAGATTTGCAATCTCAGAAGAGTGACACAACAAACTGAAATTCTTACAACACCATGAAGGTATTACGACACCGCCACATTAGTTTAGTTCAGTGGTTTCCTTTTTTTTCCTTTTCCTTTTTTTTATATCAGGCATTCTTTGTAGGTAGGACATCTAAGGCAGCGGTCCCCAATCCCTGGGCCTCGGACCGGTACCGGTCCGTGAGTCGTTTGATACCGGGCCGCGAGAGTTGAGGCTCAGGTGTGAAATGTATGGTTTTCAGCGTTATTTTGTTATCGTTTTGATCGTTAACTCAGTTTTCCTGGGTCTTTTCATGTGTGTTATGAATAAATCTTCTTTTTTCAGTACCGGTACTGGTTTTATTTTGTTGCATTTATCCGCGACACCTTAAAGGCCGGTCCGTGAAAATATTGTCGGGCATAAACCGGTCCATGGCGCAAAAAAAGGTTGGGGACCGCTGATCTAAGGAATGTGAATATGAACTCTGAGTAGTCTCCACTACTACTATTACTGCTGGATTATGCTCATAATGTGTAAATAGTCACCAAAAAGCGGTTACTTACGATCCAGGCCGTTGATGTACTTCATGGATATCTCACAATGTCCCCACACGGCGCTGACGATGGGATACAGTTTCTTTCCTTTCAGTCCTCTAAATGCCACTCCTAGATACTGTCCATCCACCATAAAACTTAAGGTCCCTTCGTCCATGTCCAGTATCACTAGCAGAGAGTCCGGAAGGGTGAACGACTCCTCTGGCTCCAGGAAACAAGGGTAAGAGGGCAGTGAGCTGTGCGCCCTGTTCTTACTGTCGTGGTAGAGCCTATTACGTCCCAGATCCCAGCCCCAGGACTCGCAGTCTGACCCCACTAACGCTGTGTAGCCAACAGAATGTAAAGGAGCTTCGGAGGTTGCTACTCCGACCACAGCGTGGGTGCCTCGCTGCCGGACAGGCCAGTTGATCTTCCATACATGGAGTCCCCTCGTGTATCCGACCCGCCCCCGGATGCAGTCCGTGCTCTGAGCGACAGGGTGGCGATGAAAAGTTAACTTGTCGTCCTCTTTGATGAAGATGTTAAGCGACCGGTCATCGGCGTTCCACGCGTGACGGAGTTGAGTCTCCAGTCCAGCGCACGGCATGTCCAGTAGGAGATCCAGCCTGGGAGGTTTGAAGAAATCCGGGCCCCTTAGCTCAGGGTGCTGCCGACGATGAGTCAGGGGTCGGTAGGATGGGGAGCCACCGCTTTCCCCGCGACCATCTACTGATTTAATGCTGCCAGAGATCTTTTGGCCCATGGCTGCGGTGCAATGACTGACAGAAGGAAGAGGAAGGAAGAGGGGAAGGAGTCGCCGCTGCAGGTGGGTTCTTGCACGGAGCCTGACGTTACCTCATCAATGCAGTGAAGCTGAGGAGTGTGTTTCTAACTGGAGAGTGGTAAAGGGAGATGAAGGTGTATGAGAGACCTGTGTGATCTGGTTTCATGCCACAGATTTCTTCAGAAAGACAGAGCCGCTGTCACTCCTGTTGAGAGAAGCACAAGAAGAAAAACACGTAAATAAAAACAGAGATGGCAGATATCAAAAAAAGAAAGAAAATATAGAGGAGCTGAAAGAGAAGCACAGTGATGGCAACGGGTGTCAAAACTTATTGTTTCACAGATTTTGTGTGGCTTTGATTTCAGAGAAATACACAATGAACAGGACAATTACTGGCACAAATACCCATGTATTTCCTCTGACTCATCATGCATCCTACCAAGAAAGTCATGCGCCTGTGCCAGCACACGCATGTTACCGTGCAAACATTGCCCAGTTGTGCAACATAGCCCAGATCTGAACCTACCACACTCTCATTTTGTTAATGCAAATTTAATGGGTATTGCCTGAGTTTGCAAAAATATCAACAGCAGGCAAACGGAACGCACAAGGTAATAATTTATCTCCAATCCTCTGTGTGACGGAGTTGAAAACTTCAGCTAGTCTGCATGCCGAGGCGTTTGGTAAAATATGATGAAACATGGCTCTAGTTCTGTCTTTGACGCTCGTGTGTGTGACACATAAAACAAGAGCGAGCTGTAACCACAGTCAATACTTTCATCTTTAGGAAACAGTTTTCGTTTTCATTGGTAAAAATCAGTTTCCACTGTAGACGCTTTAAGTTTTAGTTTAGTTTTTACTTAGTTTCTTGTTATTTCACTTCCACTTTGGGAATCCAAATCATTAATTTCTCTCACTCTGGTCACCTCATTATAACATTCCTGTGATATTTCTATTTGATTTACGCACATCTAAATAAATTGGAACTTGGACATCTAAATAGACAAAATATTAACTTGTTTATTTTAGTAATTATTTTTTAAAGTTGTTGCAGTAAACCAATTGAAACCCTTATGCGAAGCTGCAACAAAGACACGATTTCTCATTGTCACACGCACACAGGCAAGTTCGGTGCACTTCAACCAACGTAATGATCTCTTCCTGGAACGACAGCTTCAGCTTCCTGTTCACAGGAAAACAGCCACACTTCATGCAAACAGGGAAGTGAATCACACAGCTCCCTGCATGTCTGCTGCTTGTATTTACCTCATCCTGAATAAGCCACAAAGTGACTGTCTGTGTGTGTGTGTGTTAAATTTACTGACACTTCTTCTGGTAAGAGTGTCTCACACTTCAATATGAGTGATTCACACCTTATTTACCTGTCAACACTGCACTGTGTTACAAAAAAAATGCGAAAGCACAAAAGGCAGCTACCGAAGATCTAACCTCGTTCTGCTATTGACAATACAAACTGCTATTTACAGTTTACATGAGAAGCTGCTCTGCTACTGTATCAAAATTTCTAAATAGGGTCTATTGTCTCATTTTTTTTTATTCAAACTAGTTACTTAAGCCTAAAAAAATAACATTGAGTTAAAAAAATATTGCAATAAAGTACATTTTCACAAAAGCTTCTCAAACTGTTTTTTTTTTTTTTGTACTGTAGATTAAGATTGGGGACTGAATGGCAAAATAAAGGTTAACAATAGCAAAAAAAGTAAGGTATAACTAAAAACAATGGTGAAAAACTCATAGTCTGTGGACAGGGCTTACCCTCAGCCATCACAGCTGAAATGCCTCACCCCAACCCTAATTCAAACCTTTTAACTCCACACAGGATCAGTTCAAATGTCGTCATTTTCCCCCAAAGTCCTCACACCCGAGCCCTAAAGCTGGTCCTTGCTGGTCCGTGCTGTGGAATAAAGATATTCCACAGCACGAATACAAGCGTCTCATTTTGACCACGTGCATTTTCCAGTTCTCTCTCTTGCTCTCTTTCTTTTTCCTCTCTCCGTGAAGGTCATGGCACCTACCAGCCACACCAGCCAATGTATGCCACTACTCAGTTCACTCCTCAGCATGAAACGACTCAGCACTCGGACACACACACACACAAACGGACACAGCACAGACAGCTGCCTCAGTGTGTGTCATCACTGCTGGCAGGTGGGTCAAGGGTGGACGCTGCATGGAAGATTTCAACAGTCATCGCCGCCAAACCTCAGCCAAGGAAAACATAAATTCGTACGCTCTCTCAGCGTCTTTATACATGTGTCTCAGCTGGTTCAGTCTGGCACGGCGCGTGGCATTACGGGGCCGTCATCAAGGAGGCACTTGACCTCTGACCTCCATATCGTCACGGTCACCGTTGCATAGTAACCTCGCAAGAAGCTGGTGGTGGGCTGGCATACTGCTGCGAGTAGCAGCAACATGCTTCCACCATCTGTTGTTTACTTTACCTCCCTCCATCTTCCTCTTCTCCTGCTACTGGCTCCTTTAAGACTGCACTCATCCCTTCATGCAGTCAGAGTTAAGCAGGTATGGAGTGGACAGCAGCTGACGTAGAGCTACGCACGTGCCAAATACACACACACGCAAAAGAAGGCAAGTTTCTTTCTAATAACTCCATGATTATTGTTTTCTTGGTCAATTAATCATTTGATCTATAATGTCACAAGATAGTACGTGTTTGTGCACCGCCACTATTGTGGTAGGAGATATCAATTTACTTTTACAAGTTTAAATTAGGGGTTTGATTAGCTTTAATATGGAAGGAATATGCAAAGGTAGGATAGGATAGGGATGATCAGAAGAGAGACTAGAAAGAAAAACGAAGAACAAAAAGCTAAAAAAAAAAAAGTCGATCGGCAAAGTCGTCTTTAAGATATGACACAAAGAAAAAACTATCGAAACCTGAAATTCCACTAACAGCGAGGTGAAAAGTTGGGAAAGAATGAGATAAGAAGGCAGGTAGAGGGCAGTGCAGCTGGTGTGGGCTGGCTTCATCTGGCTTCTCCTGCTGTACCACTAACAAGCTGCAGCCACCTGGAAGCTCGGGGAGGTGTGTGTGTCTGTAAGTATGTAACATTGTATTAGAGGCGTGCACTGTGTGTGCGAGTGCGTGTGAGTGTGTCGGCCTGTCTCACGGACTGCGTTTCATTTGAAACTGACCAGCAAGCTCTGACTGGGCAGACAGGCTTTGAAGTCACTCACACAGACACACGCATGCAGGGACAGCTCACACACAGGGAAAGGAAACTGCCGAGGAACCTCTCACTCATACTGCACCACCCTCTGAGAACAGACTAGAAACGTCTGTGGGCTTTTCCACAAAAATTACGCCAAGAACCCTGAGCGCTGTGTTTAAATATAAAACTGTGATTAACAGAAACCGAGTTGTCCCGAGTCTTCAGCACAGTCTTTAATGCGGCGGTGTTTACTGTGAGTGTGCACTTGCTTGGCAGTTAATCAAGGACTTTTAAAGAAATGACGCAGAAGTTTACAAAGGATAACGGCTAATAGCTTCCTGATTATCGGTTCATTCATGAATGTCTAGCCTGAGAGTCACAGCCACCTTTAGACAGCGACAGCAGAAGAAATCATATGTATTATCGTATTATTATATTCTTTGGAAATCTACTTACTCACCTGCCTTGCCACAAACACCACTTATATCTGTCTGTTTAATATAAGGAGTGTAATCAGCAGCTGGTTAGTTCAATAGTTTTTTTCTTGTCTTTTCTCTTTCTAACTATGCAGGCTGCTCGCTGTAATTTTCTATCAGGGGCGTTTTCAATCTTAATTTACTTCAACTGCAAGAAAGCAAATTAGCCTATTTGCCAAAATGCCAATTTAAGTCATTCTCATTCATTTAGAGCAAAAGGGTTATGACATGCAATAAAGCCAGACTCAACTTCAGTCAAACAGATTCATTCGTTTAAACACAATGAGCAGCGAGCTGAAAGTTCACGTGTCTGTTTCAGTTACTGAACAAGAAATTCAGCAGCTTCCTCCTGACATATTGAGGTGTCTGTTTTTCCCTCTGAAGGAATGTCAATGGGTTGGCTTCAAGAAAAAAAGAAAAACAGTTAAAATATCTATTAATTATTCTTTAGTGTCAAATTCACCACGCAGCGCCACAGAAGTCTATCAGGAAACAATGTAAAGCTTTGGAGCAGGCAAACAAACTTGTGTCTCGTGATTTTGTTCTGCTCAAACCTGCTTTGCCTTTTTGTTCGAGGCCCAAATGTGAACCTTGCCTGTCACTCCAAATTACCGCAACTTTGCATCATTCTCGTGACGTCTGAAAATGAATCACAAAATGGTCACTTCTTCCACTTTCCACTCCTGGGAGGACGTCTGGGCACCACAGCGTACAAAACCAGCACTCACACACAATCCCAAACACACATTTATAACATACAGCATCTCTTCATAGCAACAGCTGTACCCACTAGATTAAACAAACTACCATCCTCTCTACATTGCTGACATTCATTCCTACTGAGGGAATCCCTGGGTAGATGAAGATGCCAGAGCCAGACATAAACTGTACCGTCTGGCTCCTAACATGATGTCAAAATACAGACAGAGACAGTGGACTGGGATTTTAAACTCCTCCAGCTGATGACACCTCTGGACTTATTAGGCTTCAGCAGAAAGAGACGTTACCACTCTCTATCGCAGTCACCCTTTGTAGGTTTGACCCTCTCGCTGTCCTGTCTCTTCACACAGCTGTTTTCAACAGCTTTCCTGTATTTGCTACACTCTCCTTAAATTCTCTCTCAGCTCTCATTCCCGCTGCCTCACCCATTTGTCTCTGCTACCCTCTTTCTGCCTTCCAGTGCCACTAAATCCAGGGAGACTAGCAGAACTGACACCCTATCAGTTTGTAATGGCGTTTAGCGTGTGGCATTGCAATGCAAGCTCAGCAAGCAGAAAAAGCACAGGTTGCAAAACTCCGGACATAGCTGCATACTATTGCACATGCTCACTGTCACAAACACTCTCTCACAGATACAATGACACATGTACCGTGAAAGTTAATGGCTGCCTTTTTCCTTTTCCCACTTTTTTTTTTTTTTACTCCATCTCTGATGCATTGCTCTTGATGGATTCCCACTCACTCTCCTTCTTTGTTCCATCAGTGTGTTAACTCTTTACAGAGTTAACTTTACAGAGACGCTGTCTGGAACCACGTTCCCTAATGAATCATGTTCCATCTCCTACATCTTCCTGCTCGGTTCACATTAATGTGCTCTGCTCTTTCACCTTAATATTAAACAGAATCACGGGTGACTTAGGAACTGAAACTGATCTACTTTCCAGCATTATGAAACTCTAAGATGCAGAGGATGCTGTCTGCTTCTAAGCTGCTATGCTTCTTCCATGCCTGTCGCAACACCTTAGAAATCCATGGCGCCCTAAGGGAAGACCATTAGTGCTACAGTGATTGAGCACCCCTTTATGGACAGCTATGCAGAACCTATTCACCCCTCTCTCGCAGACATATGGACACACGTGTCCACACACAGACACGGCCTTGGCAATGCCATACATAAAGCTTTCTGGGGCAGCTGTGGCAGATTCACAACCCCAGCAGTAAAGAAACTGCATCAAAGTCTGTGTGAATTTGATGCACTGCTGCTGCCTCGGTCACTTAGCTGAGCCGCTTCCACTAGTGTGATGAAACGTGTCACACCCACACAAGTGAAAGCACAACCCAGGAATTTTTGAAAACATATATACTTATATACCTCGTATGATGTAATGATGTTGAAAACTCTGAATCACAGATAATCTGTTTATACAACTACAAAACACTGGGGAGTTTTTTGGAGCTAAAAGTTTATTAATTAGTCAATGATGCTGACGTACAGGAGTGATGTTACCTTTTTAGCCACACTAACTAAAAATTGGCTTCTGGGCTTTAAAAGTGACATCAGTGCTCAAGCGGCTGGCATGTGTATTCTTTTTACTGACCAGCAGGAGGCGACACTACTGACTGCAAACAAAGCTCAGCACTACAGAAGCATATGGGAAAATGACCTCCAGCTCCCACGATCTGTGAAGCCATTACACTCTTTGCTGGTGACCTGATGGCTAGGTTGAACTCCTAATGCACACCCCAATTAGTCAAAAAGGACAATAATGCAATGCACGCTTTAGGGTGGGGCTATCGTTGTGACCAGCTCAAGGCTTGAATTAATAATTGATGTCTGGAGGACGTCTAGTTGCATCTCTTAGATGCAGTTTATGGCTAACCATTTTTGCTAAGCAACATTTGGTAATGAGGATAAACCTCAAAATTCAGCTGATAACAATGGGACTGTCATGAAATAAAAACATTGGCTGAATTACATTTTTTGATCTAATGATGGCAACCAAAGCTTCATGGCATTTCACTCAGTTGTTTATGCCATCTGAGTTAGGCAAACGTGCTGGACCAACATCCTGACATTTCCATCTGATCAGCATCGTGTAACAACTTGTTATATTTGAGATTTAGACACCTGGACTGGCAAAACCAAAATAATGGAAACTGTATGTTTTAGGATTCAGACACAGCTCACATGCTGCTCTGCTCAGATATCTGATTGAGAAAAGCACACACACACACACACACACACACACACACACACACACACACACACACACACAGTGAGAGAGAATGAGAGGGACACAGCATGACACTGAGAACCCTCCCCACTTCTCTTAGTTTTTAAGAAGAGAAAGACAAAAAAGGAATTACAAAATCAACAAAAGGTATCAGAAAATGTTAAATAGCAGCGGCTGCAAAGGAGTAAAGCTGCATGGATCTGCATCTGAGTGAAATAAAGAGAGCTTAAGGGAGCAAAAAACAATGGAAGGGTTGGAGCAGAGAGAAAACAGCGGTCAGCAGCTGACAAAACAAAAGGATAAAGTCAGAAAGGAGAGCTGCTATCTCTCTATCCCAGAATGGACTACACAAATACGCCCTCCTGCCCCAATCCATAGACTAAACACAACAGTGACAGAAATGCTACTGCGGAGCGAGCACTCAGGTGCTCACAAATATATAGACAAACAATAGTGTTTAAAAATAGAAAGCAGGATCTATCTTATTGCATGTGAGCAGGGGGGAAATCCAGAGGTAGTTTATCTGAGAACTCGCAACTGTCTCTCTCCCAAACAAAAGCTGCCCCCCCCTCCCCACACACACACACACACGCGCGCGCAAGCAGACACACAAATACACATACACACACAGGGGTATCCCAGCTGACCAGCTGAGACCTCGAGACCATTAAGAGAATTAAAAGCGACAGAAGGTGAGCAAGAAGAGGGAGAGCCGGAGGGAGGAGAGGCTCAGTGTGAAGCAGCATCCAAAAGAGAAGGAAATGTTTCCAGCAAAAGCAGCAATGCGTATGCTCATCACAGTCTCTCGTAAACATGATGAAAAATGAATCATACTAACAGCGACTTTTAACCTACATCGTCTATCCCTGTATGAACTGTCACAAAGAGCACTTCATCGCTCTAAGGCTGCTGTTTCTTCCACAAGTACACACACTCCTGAAATAGCAACAATCTCCCTCAGCGGGATATTTGAGCAAAGACACACTTCACCTTGTAGACATCAGATCAGATCAAGCTGCTTACGGGGAATCTCCAGTGACTCTTCTCACAGCTCAGTGCGCGTAGCTGTTCAGCCTGAGTCCATGTTCAAATCCGAAAGGCAGGCGGAAAACAAGCTGAAACTCCTCCAGCCAGTCGCCGGCAGCCAGAAAACCCAAGAAGACAGGAGGAAGAAGAAGCAGCAGCCGGCAAGTCGGACAGACAGAAAGAGAGCGAGAGACTTCTTTCCTCAGAGCTTCCCACCTCTCTCTCTCTCTCCCTCTTGCCTCCTCCTCCTCCTCCCTCCCTTGTTCCCTCCCTCTTTTCTCTCCCTGGAGCTTATCTGTCCTGAGGCTATCACTTCTTTTCTTACCCCCCACCTTCCCCCAACTCACTTGTGCTCGAACTCCGACAAGCGTTTCCAAGGCAGCACCGTCACGATTTCCTCCGCCGCAACTCGCAGCTCCGCGCGGACTTTTAGCACCACTCCAGTTTCAGTTCCACTTCAGCCTTTCCGAGAGGAGAGCTGGGGGTGGGGTGGGGGAGCGGGAGAGAGGCCTGAAAGCCGATCCGTTGATCTAATCAAGCAAAGTTACCAACAGCAACCAGACCAGCAGGCAGCTGAGAGAAACACCCGGTACACCCCCACGACTCCCCACTTCTCACAAAGAGCTCACACAGAGCCAACCAACCACACCAACCCCCGCCCCGACTGCTGGAGCCACACACAGACACACATGTTCACGTACTCGTCCACCCCGACACGTGCACGAGCGGATCGTGTGCACATTTCAGGCGATAAGGTGAGAAAGGCAGGTCGTGTCCTACGTGCACTGGTACGTGGAAAGCTACAGTTAAACACACGAGGACGACATTCTTGCAAAAGATATTAAGCAAAAGATCTTAAAAAAAGGTTAAAAGAATAAATAATTGTTTTCACAGTATTTGATTACTGTAGCTGAGTACCAAGTGTTCCTTTTTGTCCACTTTCCATGTGTGCAATTAGCACATCAGATTCAGTGCTGTCTGGGTGATGACCCCCGCTCTCTTTTGTTCTGCTCTATTACACTCTGTGCCGGCTGCTCTTTCCTGTTGTCACCTCCTTTATCTGCCCACAACTGCAAATTACAGCATAACTACTGCATAACTCTGAGGTGATGTGATGACTATGTTCATTTATCAGCCTTTTCCTGCAGCTACATCAGTCAATTAAGAAATCAGGAAAGTAAATAAAGTACTACAGACAAAACAAGCACATTCCGGAAAGCTCTCGCACAAGCTCCTCACACTCTGTCCTCGGATCTTTCTCTCATCACCGTGTGGCATTTAGAAAACACGGCACACACGTGTTTGCTGACTCACACGCGCAGACACATTAACACATATATAGTCGTGTAGATGTGCAATCCTGCAGGACCGGGGCCCTGCCAGCTCACTTCCTGTATGAGCTTACTTTCCCCAGGACTGGTGTGACCACCGGGGAACTAAAACCCGCACGACAACACATCTCCCACTGTATCATTACATCACATGTCAGCTCAGGCATTCAAGCGCAATTTGCAATAACAGAGAGTTGTGTGAGAGTAAATCTTGGTTTGTATGACTTTTGCTTTCAAACAGCTACAACTAACGGTGAGGTCGCGTTTAATGAGGAGTTCATGTACAACACCACCACCCCGCAACAAAAACACAAACGAGACTTCAAGGGACAGTTCAGAGTTTTGGGGACTATATTTATTGCTTTGCTGAATTTAACCATTTAAAGCATTCACTGCATCCCTGGATTTTACTAGACATTACCTGATATCTAACAACAAAGACTTGTATGATGTTAGAATGCACCAATTTGTTCCAAGGTGAGAATAATGCAGGTAGCAGTTCAATACCAGTGAACGAAATATGTTCTACCCAGACACCTCCTCTCGCCCAGGGCAGGGCGTGGAAATACTCCAGTAGTGAGAACACGTCTGAAGTGGATTGCCCTCTTTCGTGTGTACATGTTAGAAATAGCAGTTTCAGAGAATGTGGGACAATGTCCAGATCTTATTATCCCTGAAGTGTCTATATTTCATGTGTGAAAATGGTTTTGGTGCTACTGCTGGATGGCTTATGAGAAGGATGGCTGTGGCTCAGGTGGAAGAGACGGTCGACTGGATTGGTCCCTGGCTACCCAAGTTGTCCCTGATGCAGTGTTCAGCGTGTGTGTGTGTGTGTGTGTGTGTGTGTGTGTGTGTGTGTGTGTGTGTGTGTGTGTTAGATAAAGAAAGATCAGATTAGATTACATGAATAGCTTTTGGATAGCTGCTATGTTTTGTTTTGTTTTTTTTATCTAAAACATTCTGTTATGGGATTGAATCAGGAATTCTAAAGTCTCTACAAGATGTTCCATCATTGTTAAGAGTCAAGGAAATGTCTGGCAATTATGCCCACTAAACCAGCAAGTTGCTGTTTTACACAGTTATAGCTTAAAAGAGATATATAATGGTAAACCACAGTCACACAGGCCTGGATAACGGGCAGAGGTTGTCAGGTGATCATGACAACCTCTGGTCACAATGGAACATGTGTAATCCTTAACTAGTTGGAGAGTGGTTCCTGGCTGTGAAAATGACTGCTTTTATTATATTGGAAACAAATTCCTAAGAGGGAAAAAATATTATAACTTTTATTTTGAAGGTGAACGTTCTCTTTTTCCTGTTTGTGCTGTCACTGTGTAACTTGCCTATGCTTAAAGTCTTTAAAATGTTAACATGAACATGGCTCAGAGTGCTGAGAACTACCCCCCACCCCACACACACACACACACACTTACGTCAGAGCCAGTTAACTGGCTTCATTCAGGCTGGAGGTGGAAAAGAGGAAATGTACAGATGTGTATAAACACACTGGGGGCTATGGATCACCTGAATGGGTCACAAACATTACCTTTGCCCTACACAGTGTTCATACATCTGCATGTACTCAAACCAGCGTCTTTACTTACTTGCCACTATTCTAAATACCATCCACCGAAGGTCAGTGGTTTTGAATGTAAGCACTCACTGTAGGCTTCAGGTCACTGTAGGGCAGGGCTGCCCAATCCCAGTCCTCGAGAGCTACTATCCTGCAGCTTTTAGATGCATCTCTACTCTAACACAGCTGAATCAAATGGTTTGATTACCTCTTCAGCATGCCATCATGTTTGGCAAAGGCCTGATAACAAGCCATTCATTTGATTCGGGTGTGTGGGAACAAGGATGCATCTAAAAGCTGCAGGACGGTAGCTCTCGAGGACCGGGATTGGGCACCCCTGCTGTAGGCTAACAAGGAAGGAGTGAGAAAGGAAAGTCAGAAATCTGGGAAAGAATCTGAGATTTCATTTCCACAGAAAGCTTTTTTGTTTTTTGATCAAAGTGTATCTGACTTTGGAATTTCCCCGTGTTTATTTTTAGACAAACTCACATGAAATAAAGTGGAACTCCTGGTTGTTTAATTTCTGCAATCCTTTGTATTCTGTCATCATAGTCTAGGATCAGCTGTAAACACAGTGCGTCAAATCACAAGGTGAAGGTATATTTTCTTGTTTATTTAATTTATGTACTTCTAATTTGCATTTAAAATACAAACCCCCAAACTCAGCCCCCTAATTCTTGTGGCTAAGAGGCTTTTCCGGGTTTTAGTTTTGGGAGGCTTTGCTTCAAACCAGTGATCACACAAATTGATTGCATTTGTCCAGCATGACAGCAATAACACACTGTATGCAAAATCCAAGAACGAGCGATAAAGTAACACTAGGTGTTAAACACAAAATCTTTCTTTTATTATACTATATAGAGATTTCATTGTTTAAGTAATTGTGTCTAAACCAAGGAAACGAATTGCCCTGAGTTTGATCACTTTAATGTTTATCCTGCTACAAAGAGAAATGTGCAGGGTAGGAAGATTTCTGTTAACTGCTTTCTATATTTTCTGCATCTCAGGGCTCATATCCATCAACGCCACTGAGAAAATTGTCAGTACGCTTCACTAAAACAAATTCTTGCATGTTTTTCCATTAATACACCACAAGACTGACTTCTGTCATCCTAAATAAGAAACCAAAGAAACTGTTTGACATTACAGCTTCAAGCTGAGGACTGCGGTACATCCCCCATCCCCTAACGGACCCTTTCGTAAATTGCCCCTGATTTTCTGCCTCAAGGCACATCCACTCTAAAGGGACCCCATGGGGTCTGAGGACACATGTGTGTGTGGGTGGGTGTGCGTATGCGCTAATCTGCAGGACAATAAGGGCACTGTCCTTACCCCACACAATTAGGGCTAGGGGCTTCACAGCTGAGCATCTTATTGACAATAGGAACTGGAAGTGTGTGTGCCCGTGCATTTGTGTGTGTGTCCTACCAACACGCGTGTCAAACACAAAGCCATCCAACTGTCCACATCACCCAGGGGGGAGTGATCACCAGAGAGGGGGAGACGGATGGATGGAAGGGGAGAACAAAAGTGGGAGAAATGAGAGAAAAAGGGTTTGAAATGTGCCGCTTCAGGGTGAAGGGTGAGGACAGTCAAAGGGACAGGGTAATATATATATACACATGTATATTTGATATAACCAGTAGAATTACTATGTACTGATGGAAAAGCTACAGGAGTAAGGTAATAAAAGTGCGCTGATGGAGGACAGATGAGAGTCAGCTGTTTTATATGGATCCAAATCACAAAGAGGATGTAGTCCCACATATAATCCTTCATAAAACCACAATATGTTATTTTTATTTGGGGTTTTGTGGGAATTAAACAAAACACAGATCATCTGAATTAGTGAGATTTAGAGGTAGGTGGATGCTGTCTGTCTTCTGTCACCAGTCTCTCTATTAATCTCAATTTGCTGGGTGCGGCCTATAGCTTTATATTTTACAGACAGACGAGAGATTGACATCAGTTTTCCCATATAACTCCTAAAGTAATACACTGAGGTTGTTTTGATTTCTCCTGGAGGTTCTTGGTACCAGTTCACACAACCTGCCATCAATATTGAGTAGTTTCCACCATCCTTTAACTAACCTCGCATCCTTGAACCTAAGGTGCAATTACCCGCAAAATGTCCTCATGTCTGAGGGATGTCCACGTCTTTAAATCTTGAAAGAATACGTCCTTGAAGGTGGACATTTATCGTCCCTAGTGTAAGAAGAGTTCACCAACACTTAGCTGTCATACTGCGTGAAATCAAATCAAATCA